GGAACGATCACAGCTCACTGCAGCCTCCATCTCATGGACTCAAGCAGTCTCCCTGCCTCAGCCTCCCCAGTGGCTGGGACTGTAGGCACATGCCATCACTCCTGGCTTCACCAGTTTATTATAAACAATATTACCAGCCAGGCATTGTGAAGCACACCTGTAATCCCAGCACTTTGAGAGACTCAAGTGAGAGGATTGCTTGAAGCCAGGAGTTCAGACCAGCCTGGATAACAGTCAGATCCTGTCTCTACAAAAAATAACAAAATTGGCCAGGCATGATGGTGCACATGGTCCCAGCTACTTGGGAGGCTGAGGTGGGAGGATTATTTGAATCCAGGAGTTGGAGGCTACAGTAAGCTATAATCATGCTACTGTACTCCAGCCTGAACAACAGGGCAAGACCCTGTTTTTGAAAAAACTGAAAAATAAAAATAAATGTTAAGAAAGTATGTTATAAATGATACAGATGAAGGGATACATAGGGTGAGGTATAGGGGAAGGTGCTTAGGGCTTCCACCCCTTCTCTGAACCCGGTCCTTTTAAATTTTTATGGAGGCTTCATTATGTAGGCATGATTAATTGAACACTTGGCCATTGGTGATCACCTTAACTTTCAGCTCCTCTTTGCCTTCCTGGAGGCTGGAAGGTGGGGTTGAAAATCCCAACCATCTAATTCTGCCTTGGTCTTTCTGGTAACCAGCCCCATCACAAATCTGCTTAGGGGCTGCCAATCACTGGCCACCTCATTAGCATACAAAAAGACGTCACTTTTAAGATTCCAAGGATTTTAGGAGCTGTATGCCAAGAAACTGGGAGGAAGGCCAAATATGTATTTCACAATATCACAGTGAGGGTATGCCATGAGCTAGAACAAACAGACCAAAGCAGTATAGCTTTTTGACTCTTGGGAGGCCCTGAGAGGTTAAGCAACTTGCCCAAGGCCACACAATGAGTCTTTCAGCCAGATTTTGAACTCAGGCAGTCTGGATCCATGGTCAGTGTTCTTGACTCCTACCTGTCTTGTTAAAAGATGTTTCCAAATTACAGCTAATCCTAATTTTATGTTATTTCATACAATGATTTTATATATATATATATATTTTTTTTTTTGAGATGGAGTTTCGCTCTTGTTAGCCAGGCTGGAGTGCAATGGCGCGATCTCAGCTCACGGCAACCTCCGCCTCCTGGGTTCAGGCAATTCTCCTGCCTCAGCCTCCTGAGTAGCTG